GAGGTGGCTTACCAACGCCATGCTCTGTTCAAAACGCGGTGCACAATAAATGGGAAAATTTGCAATGTCATCATTGACAGTGGTAGTTCGGAAAACATTGTGTCAAGCAAACTTGTCACTGCCCTCAACTTATCTCTAACTCCTCACCCGACCCCGTACAAGGTAACATGGATAAAGAAAGGTGGCGAAGCCTAAGTCAATCAAACGTGCACCGTTCCCTTGTCAATAGGAGCAAGCTATAAAGATCAAATTATATGTGATGTACTTGAGATGGACGTATGCCATGTTTTGTTAGGCAAACCTTGCCAATACGATACTCAAGCATTGCATAGGGGAAGGGACAATACATATGAGTTTACTTGGATGTTTACTTGGATGGGCAAGAAGGTAGTATTGCTACCTCTCAACCCATCTAAGTTACAAATTCAGCCGGATATTAGCAAGAAAGGGCAATTGTTCACTATCCATTCGGCAAAAGGGCTCATACCTAATAAACAAATGCCTATCCTAGGCCTTGTTATCAAATCTTTTGCTGCAGGAGACTCCAATAGCCCCCTTCCTGACAGTGTCAACAGTTTGCTAGATGAATTTAAAGCCATTGTGGACATACCTACTGGCTTACCTCCCCTTCGAGACATACAACACAACATTGATTTCCTTCCAGGTGCTACACTACCTAATCTAGCTCATTATCGAATGAGTCCATCAGAGTACAAGATTCTTCACGATCAAATACAAGACTTACTTGATAAGGGTCACATTCAACCAAGCCTTAGTCCGTGTGCGGTTCCTGCCCTTCTTACACCCAAAAAAGACGGCACTTGGCGAATGTGTGTTGATAGTAGGGCCATTAATAAAATCACCATCAAGTACCGCTTTCCAATTCCTAGGATTGGTGATTTGTTGGACCAACTAGGAGGGGCTACAATTTTTTCCAAGGTCGATGTTCAGAGTGGTTATCATCAAATCCGCATCCGACCATGGTCCAAACACATACAGCTTCCGATGATTACCATATAGTGGATGGATTCCTATTTAAGGGCAATACCCTTTGCATTCCCCATACTTCTCTTCGGGAGGCTCTTATAAAAGATGCTCATTCCGAGGGTTTAGCCTGCCACTTGGAACGAGACAAAACTATGGAGATACTGAAACACGCGTTTTTTTTGGCCTCAGCTCCGCAAGGATGTGGCCAACTATATTGGTCGATGTTTTCTTTGCCAAACATATAAAGGAACTACTCAAAACACAGGCTTATATACTCCTTGCCTATACCAGAAAACATATGGGAAGATCTATCAATGGACTTTGTCCTTGGTTTACCTAGGACCCAAAGGGGTTTTGACTCCGTTATGGCACATTTTTTGGCATGTAAAATGACATCAGACGCCATTTATATTGCTACACCGTTTTTTAGAGAAGTGGTCCACCTCCATAGCATTCCTAAGTCTATTGTGTCTGATAGAGATGTGAAGTTCTTAACCCATTTCTGGCACACCTTGTGGAAAAAATTCGATACTAGCTTAACATTCAGAACTACTAGCCATCCACAAATGGACGGCCAAATTGAAGTTACAAATAGATCTCTTGGTAATCTCATAAGATGCCTTAGTGGAGATCATCCTAAACAATTGGATTTATCACTTGCACAAGCCGAGTTTGCCTACATCAACATGAAGAATAGAACCACAGGGAAGTGCCCATTTGAGGTTGTTTACACTAAAATTCCTAGGCTAACACTTGACCTAACTAATCTCCCTTCATCTGTTGATCTCAGCTTAGAAGCCGAGGAAATGGTCACCAGAATTGCTGAACTTCACCAAGAGGTCCGTGACCATATTACTCAATCAAATGAGAAGTACAAAGCTTTCGCAGATAAAAAACGACGCTTAAGGAGTATAAAGTGGGTGATCTTGTGATGATACACTTACGGAAAAGTCGATTTCCAGCAGGAACTTATAACAAGTTGAAGAAGAAAAAGTTGGGTCCTTTCCCTATTCTAGAGCGGTACGGTGTCAATGCCTACAAAGTCGACTTACCAAACCACTACAACATCAGCCCCGTGTTTAATGTTGCAGATATATACAGCTATCAACCACCGGATGAATTTACTTTGGCCCCATAACTCGAGGACGAGTTTGTTTTTTGGGTCGGGGAAATTCGTGTAATTAGTAGTTGCCTTTAAAAAGTTCGGTTAGTTAGCTTTTGTTTTAAAGATTATGCGTTGGTAGTTTTAGTTTTACCCCACGGTAACTTGGGTTACCGTTGTATGTTTTAAAGCTAAGAATCCTATAAATAGGATTCAGCTCTTTCAATGACAGGTATCATTCCATTCTTTCAAACAAGATTCTAAGGACTACATCACTATCTCCTTAAATCAAAGTGCTTTCACTGGATGAAGGCAAATTTTGGATCCGGTATTAATCGCAAATGATTTAGTTGACTTCTATAGAAAAAAGAAGAAGAGCGGTTGGATTCTCAAGCTTGACATAGAAAAAGTATTTGATAGGGTGGATTGGGACTTTCTCGTTGTTGTTCTCAACATGAAGGGGTTTGGAAGTAGGTGGATCAAATGGATAAATGGATGCATCAGAGGCAATAAATTTTATGTTTTTATCAATGGAAGGCCACGTGGAAGAATACAAGCCTCTCGTGGACTTAGACAAGGTGACCCCCTTTCACCTTTTCTTTTTCTTTTAATCAGTGATGTGTTAAGCAGTTTGCTGGAAAATACCCAGGAGGGGCATTTTTGAAGCTTCACAGTGGGAAGGGCAGGGGTTCATGTCTCACATTTGAAATTTGCGGATGACACCTTGCTGTTTTGCAAAAACGATGAGAAAATGTTAAATGTTATCTTTGATACTATTAAAGCCTTTGAGTGGCTTTCGGGTTTGAATGTGAATTGGGAGAAATCTTCCTTGAGCGGGGTCAATATTGGGCCCCAAGAAGTTGAATCGATGGCCATGAAGTACGGGTGCAAAGCTGAATTCCTTCCTATTGTATATCTCGGGCTACCTTTGGGTGGAAATCCGAAATCTATAGATTTTTGGAACCCTATAATTGAAAAACTTATGCAGAAACTTGCAAGATGGAAGATATATCAGCTCTCAAAAGGTGGAAGATTAACTCTCTGCACATCAGTTCTTGGTAGCATTCCCCTGTATTATCTTTCTCTATTTCAATTACCAAAAGGGATATGCAGGAAGCTCGAGAAGTGTATAAGAAACTTTTTATGGGGAGAAAATCTGAAAGGATCTGTGAACCATCTTGTTAGATGGAATATTGCCACTTTATATCATGAAGATGGTGGTTTGGGCATTGGCAACCTCGCTCAAAGAAATAATGCCTTGTTGGCTAAATGGGGATGGAGATTTAATGTGGAAACTTCTGCATTATGGAGTCAAGTAGTAGCTAGTATATATGGTACTGGCAGATTTGATTGGTTTGCTTATGGGCATGGGATTGGAAGTAATCGAAGTCCTTGGTTTAGCATTCAAAAACAGTGGCAGCTGGTTGAAAAGCATTCTTGCTTTAAAGTGCGAAATGGTGCACGGGTTTTATTTTGGGATCATTTATGGTTGGGAGATTCAACTCTTAAAGATTGGTTTCCTGCCTTGTTCCGGGTAGTGTCGTTCCCCTTTTCTTCAGTTTGTGAGGCTTGGGATCCGGATTCTTCTTCTTAGATAATAGAAACAAGAAGACATCTTAAAGATGAAGAATTTGAAGAGTTTTAATACACTTATCATGTCTGAATTCAATCTCCTTGCAAGAGGATGAAGATCGTGTGATGTGGAAGCTGGACTCTTCAGGATCTTTTTCAGTTGCTTCGTTATGCAAGCCTTGTAAAAAGGCCTCCTTGATGACAGATTAACAAGGCTCTAGATTGTGGAAGTCGGGAAGTCCAAAAAGGGTTAATATCCTTTCTTGGATTCTTATTAATGGACAGGTTAACATGGTTGAAATTCTCCAAAAGAAATCCCCAAATATGTGCATACAACCTTCCATTTGTGTGCTGTGTATGGCTGATGGTGAATCTCAAATGCACACTTTCTTTTGTTGTCCATATGCAGCAGATTGTTGGGGATCATTGTTCAATTTGTTCGCTATTTCTTGGGCGCTGCATATGGAAGTCCCGAAGAATGTTACTCAACTGTTGTTCGGCCCATTCTTATCTCCTAAAGCGAGTCTTCTTTGGGTAAACGGGGTCAAAGCTGTCACTTTAGAACTTTGGTTTGAAAGGAACCAAAGAATTTTTGAGGAAAAAAGAAGACCTTTGTGGAGTGCTTCAGTTTAGCCAAGTTTAAAGCTTCTCAATGGTGTGCTCTATCTAAACTTTTTGCTCTCTATTCTCCTAATATGATTATACTAGTTTGGGGGCTTTCATCTTTCCGACTAGATCTTATATTCCTGATTTCATAGGTTGTACTTTTTAATTTTTGCTATCTTTTTCTACTCCTTTGGGAGTTTGTATCTTTGAACATTTATGTTCCTTTTCATTAATCAATGAAAAGTTCGTTTCTTGTTAAAAAAAAAGTACATATTTCTTATTGAAAAAAAAAGGACAAGGATCTAAGATCTAAGATTTTTTTGTTTGAAGTTGATGATGTAGATCTGTTTGCGAGCTTAATTTAAGGTTAATAGGACTCATCAACCCAATTCTCAAAATTCCTAGATCTTTCAGATTTACAGAATTCAGGCTTAGTGGCCTCACTACAGGTGTCTCCAAAATTCTTGTCAAGGTACTTGCAAGTAGAATGAAATTAGTGTTGGCTGACTAAAGTCTTAAGAACAAATAGAGGCGGTTGTCCCTGGCCTGGAATTATGAGTTACAGCAATACTTTTAGATCTTTTATTTTCTTTAAATTGAGTAATGGACAAAAGGTTATTGTTGGGATGACAAGACTATCTGTAATTGAGATGTTTATCATAAGATTTTTTTTTTTCTCTCTTTCTGTTCATCTGTTGGGATCACCTTCTACTAATGAATTTTCTATTTGCAGAAGGTGGAGAGGTTGAAATTGCTTTGCCTGCAATATGCAGCAGCTACTCAGTGGTTGATTTCATCCTCCATTGACCTATGTAGGCCGGAGGAATCATCCGATAGTGCTATCAGTTCTGAAAAAGTCAAGCAATGGAATGGAAGAACTCCCAAGGGCGCGAAGCTAACCACCAACAACTCGGCTGTCTCCGAGTCTGTCATGTAAGTTCATTACAAGTGACTGTTTACAGTCGTTACCCATACTTATAATTTGTTGCGCTCACATCTGCTTTGCACTTGTTGCAGTAAATTTGAGAAGGAGTTCAATTCTGAGCTTCAGAGTTTGGGACCGATTCTGAGTAAAAGTTCCCAGGCTGAGCCATATTTAACTCACCTTGCTCAGTGGATTCTTGGCATTGAAATGACAAATAGGTTTTGAATTTCTTCCTTACTGTAATTTTACAGAATTGATAAAGGTCTAGGAAACTAAAATGTTTGGATTATTGTGGTTCCCAGTATGTTTGTACCATCTTACGTGCACTACGAGTCGAGTTTTTACATGGCAATGTGGTTCATTCATATTTGTGAGTTAGAAAGACTATTTTTTTTAGTACAGCAAAGGTAAGGTGCGAAGATTTGAATCTCCAATCTCAAAGAAATAAGCTATATGTCTTTACCGTTGAGCTATGCTCGATGCTCATGTTGGTTTAGAAAGATAATACCGAGTTATTGATGTGATTCTCCTCTTTCATGCTTCATTTTCTGTTATGGCCTTCTGGTTTAGGTGATATTTGAGCCTTCATATTTAACAGAATCTGATTAGTAGGTAAGTTTAAATCTCCTTATTTGTATTTTAATATTCTTATAAAACTACCTCCGTACACTAGTAGAATTTTGGGTTCTCGTAACATCACAAAGCCCTTTTGTGACGTTTTTTATGACGTCACTTATATCCCATCACGAAAGGTATTTGTGACGTTTAAATAAATGTCATGAAATGTAAATTTTGTGACTTTTTAAAACGTCATGAAACATACAGATTTTCGTGACGATTTTTAGCCATCACGAATTTCTATTTTCGTGACTTCCTTTAAACATCACGAAAAAAAGATATCGTGACGAATAAATATTTTTGAGGATTAGAAAATGTCACGAAAAGTGAAATATGTAGCTTAGAAACGTCACGAAAGACTGATGTCGTGATGGATAAAAAACGTCATGACATCTATTTTTGGTGATGTTTTTTAAACGTCACAATAAATTATTTCGTGATGTTTCAAAATGCTGATGTAGCTGTATTCTATTATTTCTTTATAGCTAGCCGTTTAAAGTCTTTTATTTTAAAGTAACTGTAAGGTAACTTGTAGTTACCTCTTAGTTTGTTAAGTTCCTTTTTCCCTTACATAAGGAGAAAAGCTAGATTGAGATTTTCTTACTATCCTTTGAGTAAAGTCTCCATCAAATTGGTACTAGAGCACCCAAAGAAATTCTGGGCACTCAATGGTAGGGAAGAAATCGGTAATGGGAGATGTTTCTTCCATAACCAGTAAATAAACGGAGCAGCCAGCCGTTCTCTCACCACGAGTAGTGACCACACACTTGCAGTTGGTCGAAGGAGATATCAAGAATCTACAAAATGACGTGGGTGAGATTAAACAGATATTAGGAATTATACATCAACAGCTGGAAAGATTGAGTATAAACCAAAGCCCAACAAATAATACTCAACCTATGCCCCCAAGAATCAACCAAGATGTGAGAGAGGATGATCGACAAGGTATTCGCATTCCAGAAAGGCTTGCAGCACCTCCAAGATTCCATCAAGAACGAAGGTATGAGTACAACATGGGACCAAGATTTCAACAAGATTATCGCCAACACCCCCAAGATGTTAATAACAATTTGTTGTTTCAAAGATGCCAAGACCCTTCTTTTGATTTATTGAGCGATGGTGAAGATGATTACCTGGAAATAGATAACAACTGATGCGGATTCCAAAGAAGGTAGAATAGACATCAAGATGCACCTGATTTCAAGATGAAAATTGATCAATGGTAAGATGGATAGATTGTGGGGTTCTTTTTTGAAATGTATAAATTTTTTTTGCTTACATGAACACATCGAAGGATAAGAAGGTACGTCTTGTTGCTTTTAAACTTAAAGGTGGTGCCTCTACTTGATGGGATCAGTTAGAGATCAATTGCCAAAGGTATGGCAAGCGACCTATCAGAATCTGGGAATGTATGAAGAAGCTACTGATGGAACAATTCCTCCCCGTCAATTTTGAACAGATTTTATATAATCAGTATCAAAATTGTCATCAAGGAACTCGTTCGATCGCTGACTACACCAAAGAATTCCATCGGTTAGGAGCCAGAACAAATCTTTTGGAATGCCAACAGTATTTGGTGACATGGTTTGTTGGAGGTTTGAGGGCGGACATTAAAGAACAGATTGCTTTGCAACCTATTAGGTACCTAAACAAAGCAATATTCACTGCTACAACCATTGAAGAACAAATTAACAACAGGTACAAGAAAACATATGCTCGCCAAACCACTTGGGATCAAGGTGGTCCTTCGAAAAGAAATGCTGCCTCATCAAATAAGAATTCTTCACCAGCTGCAAGTGGTTCCTCTGAAGGCAAACAAATAATCAAAGACACTTCTCAAGAAGAAAAAGCTCTGGATGCCACAATAGGTAAGAAAGTAACTAATACTTATAACCGTCAAACTTTGTACAAATAATTTCGTTGTGGACAGGTGGGGCATCTTTCGAACGAATGTCCTCAAAGAAGGGCTATTACCTTTGTGGAGGAGGATGACCAACAAGAATAAAGTAATGAGGAGCTACAAGAAGACAAAGTTAAGTACCTAGGTTCTGATGAAGGAGATCTCATCACTTGTGTCATCCAACGCCTTCTCCACACTCCAAAAATTGAACCCGCCTACCAACGACATGCCTTATTCAAATCCCGCTGCACTATCAATGGTAAAGTTTGTAACATAATAATTGGCAGTGGCAGTACCGAAAAAATCGTGGCTATTAAACTTGTTACAGCTCTACATTTGACATTAAATCCACAGTTGAACCCCTATAAAGTTTCTTGGATAAACAAGGTAGGGAAGTTCAAGTAACGCACACATGTACTGTGCCCCTATCCATTGGGGGAAGCTACAATGACCAAATAGTGTGTGATGTATTGGATATGGACGTCTGCCATGTTCTCTTGGGTAAGCCGTGGCAATAAGATACACAAGCAATACATAAGGGACGTGATAATACCTATGAATTTAGTTGAATGGGAAAAAATGTGGTATTACTTCCTCTCTCTCCACCTAAAACTGTGTCAGCAAAGGATGGTACCAACAAAACAGGTACGTTATTCACGTTGTCCTGAGCAAAACAACTACTTATAAATAAGGACATGCCTATTCTTGGACTGGTGGTCAAGAGTTTTGGGACTGTGGAACAACCACATTCAAATCCATCCAAAGTGGAACGATTGTTACTTGAATTTAAGACTATTTTGGATACCCCATCAGGGTGCCTCCTTTAAGGGACATTCAACATTATATAGAATTTTTCCCTGGGGCAACCTTGCCTAATCTTGCTCATTGTCGAATGAACCCATCCGAATACAAAATTCTTTATGATCAAGTCCAAGAGTTACGTGATAAAGGACATACACAACCCAGTTTAAGTCCATGTGATGTGCCCGCCTTATTAACACCAAAAAAGGACAGCATGTGGCGCATGTGTGTGGATAGTCGAGCCATAAACAAAATCACTATCAAATACCGATTCCCCATTCCCTGTATTAGTGATTTAATGGATCAACTTGGTGCTACAATATTTTCTAAAATAGACCTCAAAAGTAGATACCACCAAATCCACATAAGGCCGGGAGACGAATGAGAGATTGTTCGAATGGCGTGTCATGCCTTTTGGATTATCCAACACCCTAAGCAACTTCATGCACCTTATGAACCAGGTATTGCTTCCTTTTATTAATTAATTTGCGGTCGTCTACTTTGATGATATACTTATCTATAGCCAATGCATGACCGACCATGTGAACCACCTCCATAAGGTTTTTTCAGTATTAGCTGCTAATCAATTAGTAATGGTTGGTTTTATGGTGTTTTTAGTAAATAGTTATTGTAAATACTTATTTATTATTTTTCTTTTATTATTTGTAATTAGTAGATTATTGTGATAGATTTTATTTTGACTTGTTTCTCACCTCTACTTAAG